TACTTCTCATCCTGCATCTGTGGCTTAATGCAGACTAGGGAAGCACACTCCACAACTTCTTGCATTTGTCATCCTACATAAACTAACAGTAATTTCACAGCATTCTTCAAAAGTCTCACAGGGACAACCAACTAAGGGGGCAAAAAGAGCCAAAGAAAATTAGCACAAAATAAATTCTCAGAAATTTAAGAAATGTTAAAAGATTCCCTGTTGAAATATGTCACTGGCGTACCTATGCAGGCCAAACAAGGGAGAGTGGCACAAGTCCTTCCAGAAGGATGGAGGGTGTAGGATATTAGATGGGAAAAAGCTCCTGCTGCTCAGGTATGAACTTTCATGTCGGCGGCACAACATTACCCACACACAAACGAGCTTGCTTTCCAGGCTTTCTTTAGCCTGTAAGTGAATATAAATTGGGGCAATTATTATCTCTAGTTCTGTTATTTAGATATACCAGGATAGGAAACGTGACTGATGCTAATCTGAAACTAGCGTTGCCTGGAATGAAAAGGCCCCTGATGACCATCGGTAACACGTACCAGCAGCCAGGGCTTACGGTACGTATCCCGTCAGCAACGTGTGTGGCCACACTCTCTGACGCCGCTTGACTTAGACACGGCTTGATGCCATTGCATCTTGTGTTAGGTTCTGCACGCCTAAGCAAGCTGTCAGAAAGCTGGTTTTGTCTGTTGCATCTCCTTAAAATTATTGAAGAAAAATGTTCTAGGGTTACCTTGAATCACTTGGGTGACTCCAACAGATTTATTCTGTTTGATCCACTATCTCTCCATGATAGTGCATTTGGATACCTAAGCAGTGCACACATTTGAAATGAATAGGATTTTAGTGCCAGAGCAAATTTCCATGTGCATGTAGCTACTGCATTTCAGCCCTGTCTTTTTAACATTGTGAAAAAACCACAGATTTTAAAGAAAACATTACAAATTCAGATGGTTTTAGTAGATTTGTAGATTTAGATGTTGGAAAGATAGTAAATGTGCATCTATTCATGTAAAGATAATTTTCTATTATGTCTGAAAAGATGTATTTCTTGAAATTATCTCAGTGGTTTGCGTAGTACTGGGCCTTTTCAACTCCTTTTAACCACTGTTCACATTCAGTTGTCATCCATTTCAGTAGCACGCCGTCATGATGTGAAGTAATGCAGCTGTACGGAATGGTCTGTACACAGCAGCATGCTCTCAGAGAGAACAGGAGATAGTGTTCTCCTTTCAGTACTTTAAAGTGAGATTCCTTGAAGTCAAATTCCTAATGAGGAAACACAAAACCCGTCAGGTAAACACTGAGAAGGGGGAGACACAATAGAAGAGGATCCCAGGTTACAGCTCTCAATCCAATGAGTAAATCTTGCTACCACACACTAGCAGTACTGCAGTCAATAGGACTGTCTCTATGAATAAAGATTGTTTGTGCAAGGACGGAAGGTCTTTAAAATTAGTTTGTCTTATAAAACATAGAGTGTACAACATACAGGAGTATACAGATATGGGTATTGTAATTCTTATAGGAGCTCTTGCTGGAGCCTAGAAAAGCAGAATTTATTCTGCTCTGAGACATCTAAATCTGCAAAATTCATTAAGAGAGAGGAACATAACACTCAAACATTCATCTTGGAAATCATTATAGTGATACATACCGGTAAGTGAAATCATGTTCCCGAATCTATGCATCAACCACAAATCTATAAGGGTAAAATAATGTATAAGTAACATTTATTATTTTTGATTAAATTACTGTATTTTGAAATGGTATGATGCTGTATGATGTATTTTCTATCAAGATTGGCGTAGAAAATTTACATTTCAGCACCTGGCTATACCTTTTATTTCAAGAAGCACAGTCCTTTGAGGCATTTGGGATTCTTGGGCCTGGCCCTGCATATTACAGATTTATTTTTCTTGTTACTGTGTTGATGTAATGTTATTCTCAGTGTACATGAGTGCCACTGAAAGGAAACTCTGACCCACTGGATATACTGCTTACCAAAGATTATCTCAAAAATTATTTCCCAGTTTCTTGTTTTCTATCCTCTGCATTATTCATCAACCCACATCCTAAGAGTAGGGGAAGTCTGGACACTGATTCAAGTCACATTTTCCAAGGGATTTTTTTCAGTCAGTTGCTGTGGTGTCTGAACAGAGATGAGTCTCTTTCAAGTCACCTTCAAATGGTCATTGACAAACACTTTGCCCTCAAATGTCACGCTGTCGCTGAAATACATTAAAAGGTCAGACGGGGGAAAAACAACAGAGGAGGATGAAAAAAAATTTCCTTCAATGAAGACACCTTGACACTTATGTGACTAAACAAACCAGGAGCAAATTTTCTCAAACTGCAAGTTTTCTGATGCATTGCGGAAGGAACTGATATCTACTCAATAATTACAACTTGGGTTTTCAGACACTTTAAATTGTTTAATGATGTGAGTCATTTAGAGCAAAAAATAAAATAATCAGACATTTGTACATTATCAAATTTACAGATTCATTAAATAAAATCTGTTTTATTACAGCAGCAAGACAACACTCTACAATTAGGTCAAGCTCTGGGTCACTGCTATGCAGAATTTTAATGCCTCCAAATTTTAACCCTTTGTAAATACAACCATCAGAGATTAACACAGCAGCACGTAATCTTGTTAACATAGTCCAAATCACTTCCGGGGAAAACAGAACACCTGACCAAACTAAAGTTGTGATGGACTGCATTCTCCATCACAACTTTGCTACCTTTATCTGGATTGAGTGTGTCTGCTGCTATAAAGACACTTTCTGCGTTCCTTCTACAGAACACAAAGAAAAGCAGCATATTCAGAGACAACAGAATGTGTCTCTCTGCTCTACGTGTATGAATATAGGTTTAGTCAATAGACTTATCAATGATTATTCCCTCTACTGTAGTTTCTTGTTAAATCTGAAATTATCACACAGCATTTTAGTGAAACTAAGAGCCTTGAGCAAATCTTTCAAGAGCCCTTGTTTTCACCTTGGAAAGGCAGCACATGGAAAGCAAAACTTGCAGTGATCCATCTCTATCACAGCAACCCGCAGTCTTCAACCCTGATTTTCTTCAGTGCTACATCACTGTCACACCAGCACAGCCCCGCTGATTGCGACGGCTGGCCTGATTTATGTTGGTGAAGTGAGAAGGCAAGTCATCTGCTTGTTTTCATGCCTCCACATCGAATGCTCAGTGCAAACAGACACAGTATTTGGCCCTTTTGCTCTGTCTGTTCAAAACCCATAAAGGAATCCTAAATAGGGTTGTGCTTATTTTCCCTTGCATTTTCCCCCTGAGTGGAAAACAGGGTGACTGCAGATACTTAAATGATTGTCATCACGCATACCTCTGGAAATTAGATCTATTCATTAAAGAAGCAGCATAATTTTTAATCGAACTGCTGGAAGTCCTGAGAGTGTATTTACCTCTGTTTAACTGAAATGAATGACAAACCCTCAGAAAAAGAGCTCTCAGTCAAAATGCACTGGCATTTCAAGCATATGCAGCATATTTAATGTAAGACTTGAGGACTCCATTCACTGTTTCTGACAGAATTATATATATTATATTGAATTATACATATTATTGAATTATGTTTAATTATATATATATTATTCTGACAGAATATGTGGCAGAAAAAACAGTAGTGTTCTTGCCGTGATCCAGTGGGACTCCTGCAACTATCTGCAAGCTACATGCACTCTCGTGGTTGTGTTGAGAAAAGTATTAGCTTCACATGGGCCTTGAGGAGGAAAATGACACTGTAAAACTATTCCTTGCTTAGGGACAACTCAGACAGGAAGAATTATTCAAATTAATTTTGACATCCTAGCTCTTCAAACATTTCAAATGCTGCCTTTATCTGGATTGAGTTGCAAATATTCTGTAAGGTTGGGAAACTTCGTAATGTCCTAAGAGATCATGGAGGCAAAAAAAAGGGGTAACTGGCATAAAATTAACCAACATTTGTCACATTTGATCAAAGAAATTTCAACCATGAGAACATTCATAAGTTTCACAATGTCATATATACAAAATGTGCATGCTTACATTTCAACCATCCATATTCAAAGGTCTATACAATGGCCACTTACACAGGTATTACATATGAATCATGTATAGAGCAGTAGAAAATTAAACCATTTACATATCTCTTAATCCTCTACTTAGCCAACTAAATGAGCTAGTCCTAGGTTTGGGCTACATTTTTTCAGATAAATGTTTCAAGTCTGGCACATCAGTAAGAGCAGAATCACAAGTCAGCCAAAACTGTTATAACTTCCCACCTGTGGAGCTGCTCTCTCATTTTCTGTGGGTTCCCACAGACATACTGCCCAGTGCCAACAAGCAACCAAAGCTGGGGTTTAAGACTATTTAGATTCCTTTTAGACCCACAAGTTCCTCAAATCAATAGGTACATAAATAACTTGAAATTCACTATGCAAAGCTATAAAGCACTTAAGTATTTGTTATTCCATTCATATATCATTAAAAGTTTTAACCTAACAGTGTACCCAAATAAAATTAATTTATGTGTCAGGGAAAAACTGTTGACAACATTGCATTTGCTAGGGTTAACTTGAGTCAAGAGGAGCAATGTCTGTTAGATCAGTTTAAATGTCTAGATTAAATGCCTTTTAATTGCTGTTGCCATCTTCTTCCCGTTTTCTGTATGCTTTATTCAACATTTGTATTTCTTCCTGATAACCGCCTCTTTCCATATGCTGCTTTTTACTATTCTGTCGATGAGCTTCGACAGTGTCTGGAATTGATATGTTAATATCGCTGTCCGGATTGTTTGATGGTATGAAGAGGGAATAAGAGGCAGTTTCCCCTAAATCACATGACACAAACCTGTTTTCTTTCCGTGAGTAACGTAAGGATGGAGACCTTACCTGTGTGGAGGACTGGCTGATATTACTGATGATTGACACAGTATCCAGGGCCTCTTCATTGTCACAAATTTCAAGTACCTCTAAATGAATTTTAACGCTTGTGTCAGCAAACGTATTAGGAGACTCCTCTGGGTTTGGCTCGTGACCAACACTTTTGGATCGATATACTTCAATTTTCTTCGACGTGGGTGTTATTTTTTGCCCTTCAGTGCTTACCTCGTATGTAGACAAAGAGAGCGTTTTTCCCGTGGGTGCCTGAAGAGATACAGTTCCTTGAAATGCACACAGAGGGATAGCTAGGGCCCCACCTGATCGCTGAAAAGAGAAAGAATGACCATTATCTAATGCTAATTTATGAAGTTAGAATCCATTATATATAAGACGATTATGCTTAGTTTGCTAACTTATTTTACTGTTGCAGACTTTTCTTTGCAGAGTTTTAGAAACCTAGTATTTATGACTTTAAAGGGTAGAAAGAAGTGTTTTGTAACTATACACTTTAGTATAAAAAGTAAAGTCCCAAGTGACTGTGACTCATCTACAGCTTATGGACACATACACGTTATTAGAATAGTCTACACTTAACGTTTCATTGCAGGCAGTCCACAACGAGACAGCCAGCACTAGCAGGCACCTCTCTAGCTATTACTCATAGTCACCTCTAAAAGTGTTTTCACTCTGCTTAAATCAGATCAAGATACTGATCTCCTAAAGCTTCCCATACACTGACCAAATGGAGAGAAATGACACCAGAGGACTGTTCAAAACCAGGACCCTAAACTGACAACATCTATCTCCCTTGGGCACCCTGTCTTAATTAGTCTTAACTAAATTAGGTACCTGAAGTTAGATAGCTTAGCTACCAAGCTGAACTTTCCAAAACAACTTGTCCGATATTATTCAAGGAACTCTTTTGTGCATTTTATTTTTATAGTGGAAATAATGTTCTTTCAACGTTATCAGTTGAAAATCTATACTAAGGATTTATACCACCACTACCCTGATGGCCAGAGTGCTCATCCAGAACTTTGCTGCCAAACACATTTCACGGTGGTTCTAGAAGCCAATACAGGACATCTCTTCTAGAACAAAGCTGAATTTATCAGTAGAGAAATTTTTACACACTTGAAAGCAGAGAAAGAAAATTCAGTTGCAGCTCTGCAGTACTAAAGGTCATGCTCAAACCAAGAGTTTTTACCAGTTGCAATGAAAATATCAGAGACTGTAAATAAATAAAGGCATTACACAAAAAATCCCTGCAAGTGCCGGCACGGAGAACAGAGGACATGGCTTGCTCCTATGTGGACGGTGGTAGCTGACTCAGTGGTAGGTTGTTTTATGTTCCCTTCTGTAGACTCAGGACAGACAAAAGTGATGGCAGAAGCAGACACACACAGCAAAGAAACACCAGACTCAGGTTCTAGAGTATCTCACTGAGGGCTCATCTACTGCTCCATCCCCATCTGCTTTGCTATAGTTGGGCTTTGACTGCTAACTGACAAGGGCAGTGATTACCATTTGAAAACTTGCTATTACTCACTAAAAAATACTATTAAAATGAACGGCAGCTTTGCCAAAAGCAGACTCCTTGGCAGGCAGTGAAGTGCTGACTTTGGAACAGGGCAGTTCACGAGGAAGGGCTGCACTCCTTTAGAGAGAAATGCCCAAAAGACTACGGAAAACAGGGGAAGCTGGAGAATTCAGCTCTGCACCCACACAGACACTAGGGAGAACTGTGCACTGAGGTACTGAAAAGCTGCCAGGTAGCAAGGTGAATCACCCTGTACAGTATTCTGTGTTGCTGTTGCTATGCTGCCTTCAGGACCCTTTGCTTTGAGGATTTACCTCAAATATCTCTAGATCACATTGTTATGTGAACTGCAACCTTACTCCTATGGCACTGCAGTTCCCTCTCCAGCTAAGGTGCCTCCCTACCTCCTGCTGCTGCTGCCCGGCAGGGCAAATCACCAGCCCAAGCCTCATCCTCCCCTGTCCTTTCTCTACACACACACAGACATGCGCACAGAGACCCTCCCTAATAGTATGTCACTTTCTGGATGATGTGGGAATAAGAAACAGTATTACAGCAATCACTGCATGAAGCGAAAAAATGACAGTTGACTTATCAGGATGTGTAAGTCTGAGGCATTTAAGGAGTCCGGATAGCTCTCACATTTCTTCCTGTTCATGCAAGGGAGAGCTAAGATAAGAGAGGGAGGCAGCTGTCTAGGAGAGCAGGATATGCCTCTCTGAGTGTTGTGATTAATCTACCTGCAACCAAGGAACAAACCACAGAAAGCCTGGGCTTTGGAAAGGACAAGTCTTGCTCAGGCAAGTTACAGGGGGACGCCCTGAGTTCACCCTCGGAAGCACAAGCTCCAATATTGTCCTCCTGGGTGCTCATTTGTCTTGTGCAAACTCCGTGAATAGAGAGAGGAAGAAAAGAAGGAGTGACAGAAAGACCAAGTCTAATAATTGGCAGTATGGAGAAGTGCTAGCGTTATTTCAGCACTGAAAGGACCCCTTCCACTTGGACCAGTTCTATTTAATGTTTCCTTTCTAGTAAAACTGAGAAAGCGAGTAAAAACAGAGGGGTTTACGATACTGACTGGAAAGGTGAAATTGTTCATAGGGAGCTGGGAAGGGCAATTATTTGCTGATTATTAAAGGAAGCTGTTGTAAGACTTTAATTGAATTAGGCACAACTTTACAACCACACAGCTAAATGAAGTGCCAAAGAGCACAAAAAGGAAATTAGGTTTCATTGCATAGAAAAATCTTGCCAGACTGTGACTTAATGTCATCCTTTGACCAAGGAATTTGCCTGACAAAACTCTAGGAGCTGGCTTGCCCTGCTGGAAGGCAATCAAAGTTGTATTAGTCTCCTTAATAGATCTGTCAGAAAAAAATGGTCCTCAAGTGTTCTTCCAACATGCAGTTACAGAGGCAGTGATCATGCTGTGTCATTGAGCCAGCAGAGGTCCTAGATCGGTGAATGTTAGATGACAGCAGCTCCCTGTCAGCTCCTGGCCGCAGTTTGAGTACAGAGCCATGGTGGGTACCCGGGCTCCCTCAAGGGTAGCTCTCCTAAGGGTAAACACCAGCAGCCTTTGTTTCAAAGCAGTGATGAGGGAGCTTTTCTTTAAAGCACAGTTAGGTGTTGGCACTTAAACATTTTCTGTAGTAATTAGTAATTAGGATCACTCCTTCAGGAAAGGAGAGATGTGAGAATAACTGTTTTCTCAGGTTGAGGAAGCTCTTGTCCACTTGTCTTCCATCCCAGGTGCTTACTAAAGCAACTAGAGGACAGAGCCACAAATTCAGCTCTGGGTAAGATGAAGGGGGCAAAGCCTACTGTTCTAGGCAGCACAGACAGAGGCACAAGGTTAGCGTCTTGGATATTGCAATTGATAGAGCCTGGATACCTAACAATTTTGGTAACACACATTTTCTGTTTCTGTTGGACACAAGCCCTACAGCTCTGTTTCCAGCCCCCTGTCTAGTTTCTGCAATCAACATTGGAAGTCCTTTTCGGGGTCAGTTAAGTATGTCTGCATTTCTGCCTGTTAACCAAACTGAGTCTGAAGAACAGTTTAAAACAGCACTTAGATTACACAGAAAGACATCTAAAGAGTATGAAAAAAAAAGTTAAGTAAGAACCTATTACTTCAGTGCAAGGTTACCTTCTATTTAATAAAACACTGCGGATTTGTCAGACGGAACATCAAGAAGATGGAGAATATGTCTGAGGCACCTGGAGGGAGAATGAATAATCCTCACGGGCTGGAATGAATACTCCAGTTCTGGAGAATAAGAAATTTTCCAATGACCACAGATTTAGTGACTCTTTCTGAAAGTCTGTTTTCTGTTGAGAAATCAGTATTTACTTTTAGAAGTGACCAAGTCGTCTATGCCACTTCTCAGTCACTAACCAGGAAGCCAGTAAGCTATGCCATTTTCCACTAGAACAATTACAGTAGAAATAGTGTTCAATTACAGACACCTTCACCTGTTTCTGCAAGTAGAAAATCCATTTGTCTCTTGGTGCAAACCGTGCACCACAACACCATGCACTTGTGACTGTGGCAGGGGGCTGCCCCCAAATCACAGCTTCAACTCCCTCAATGCAGCAAGCAAGGTGCAAGGAAACCAGACTGTTAACTGCAAGCTTTGACAAAGTACATGTGTGTGAAACAACCCCATTCATCACCAATGCAAAATGTTCAAAGTTTAAAAAAATCCCAATAATTACTTAAAGAAAGTAAGCAGCATTTGCATGATACTATAGAACTCAATAAGCAGAGTTTATTAAAAATTAAATCAAACCCTGGAAATCCATGATAGTGGAAGGCAGCAATAAAGCCTGAAGAAAGATCTGAGCCACTAAACTGAAAATTCACTGCTAAGCGCTGAGGGGAGCTAGCACTACTTTGGCTGCCCCCGAAGTGCCACAGCCCCAGGAAGACTTCTGTGCTCCATGCTGGAGGGGAGCTGCTGCGGCCACAGAAGGTGACCTGAAAGGACTCTGCACCAGAGCCAGAAAGGGGCTAGCGACCAAGAACTGGATCCAGCCCCTGAGCTCCTCAGCAATGCACAGGGCACTGACCACAGCCAGGCTCCCTCCTGGGTCCAGAGCTGTCACTCACCTTGTGCTGGCTTTGCAAGCTTCGCTCTGGAGTCAAGCAGCCCAACAGAAAAATGCTATGAAAACACTGTGAGCCCAAAAGAAGGAAGAATGTATTTCTGGTTTTATGTATAGCCAGGTAAAATTGACTATTACTGGAATTACTTTCCGTATAAATTACTATTAATGTGAACAGAATGTGACCTTATCTTGTCCTTGATATCATTGCTAGATATCTATTTTTGCTTCTTATGACACATTCATGGCAATAAATAGGAATCTACTAGCAAACCAGACTATACTGGTACATCCTGTGAAGAAGTATTTTATCTTCCACTCCCATTGTTGCCTACAGTTCAGTTTTCTGATTTTAAGCCTTACAATGCAATTTACTTCTAAAGCAGTAGGAAGAGGAAGCAATTTGAGTAGCACTTAACAGTGGCCTTCAGTTCATCCATCCAGTTCCTGTATCTCATCTCTGCATTGTCTTAGCATGAACAAGAGCATCCACAGTTGTAGTTGATTCATTTTTACTTCAGTGAAAATAGAAAGAGATCCACCATGCTGGTTTTGAACATCTGCCATCTCACTCTCCACAGCCTGGGCTCAAAATGCTTTTTGAAAGGGTACTGCTCCACCGACCTCTATCCACACTCCTTCCCCACACAGTTTGTATTCCTGTATTTAAAAG